TTCCTTCCGACCACGTAGGTCTCTCCACCTGCTCGAGGTCGGAGTATGTTCCCGTGGTCCGGCTCAGGACCGGGGGGGGCTTTGTGAGGAGCCCGGCTCCCAGGACGCTGCCGTCCGGAACCTCAGCATCCCGTCGGCCTCGTCGACGCATCCCGCTTCCTAGTCGTCACGCGTGCTACAACCACTTCCCCTGACCGGGGGCCCCCCCACTTCCTTACCTCCTCAGGTTCGAGGTGGCCGTCGCCGGTCTGTCGCTGCCTGCTCACCTCCACTACACGACTCGGTCTCTCCCGCCCAATCTCCGCGCACTCCGTTATACATTTCACACCCTTGATCATTGATAATAGGTGTGTGCAAAGTTGTGTCTTGCTACATGTGTGTTGATGTCCAGTCATAGGCAGAGTTTGAAATTTGCGCTTGGGGCGGGCAAACCTTTTTTACTGACATCAGTACACAGTCCCAACTATTGCGTGGGGTGCTACGGTTACAGTAGCAATAAAGCCAGCGTTCACCGCACTGAGTATGACTTTTCCACATACGAACACAACTCGTCCCGTCATGCACGCCTCATGCCCGCCGTACACACACACTCATATGGAAGGGGCGGTCTCCCCCCCCCAACAACAGTGCATTACATCTGTAAAACTTATCATAACCGTGCACATCTTATACTTATTTGATAACTACTATATCCCTTGGTTACTTGAACACGCTACAATATTAACCAGTGTCCTACCTTATTAAAATATTGATATACGAAATATTTGTATTGGAACAGTTTTATAAGCCCCCCCCCCCAATGATTTCCATGTTCTAGCTAATCAAAGAGGGTTTTTTAAATAGTTTATAATGAAGTATGATCTTTTTTTTTTAACTCATTAGGGAACAAACCATCCTTCAGTTTATCACAAACGTTAAAATTAACACACCTGGAAATACATGGTTTCGCTGGACAGGATAAAAAATGTAATCTCAAAAGTAATCTTGATTTTGTATTTTAGTACATGACATGAGTTCATCTACGTGGTTACATTCAACCACTGTAATGTGCAGTGTTTACACTCATGATATAGATACAGGCTGGAGCAGATGTTGACAAATTAGCTTTCCTATTTTACTGTAAAAATTATTTGACTCAGAGAAAATTAGATGGTGATAATAATGACTTGTATTTTCCATTTTTCTTTTATACTCTAATTGTATCCCTCTGCCTCTGTGCCTGCAGTACAGGATAAGAAAATGCTGACTCCAGCTTCTGGTTTTCTTTGCAGCAGTCATCTGTAAATAGCAGTCTGCCTCCAGAGGCTGTGATTGATGTAGTTACTAAAGGAATACACACTGCGACATCTCTGCAGGAAGAGAAACTGGCTTCAGTTGCTGCTACATTATTTAAATGTATTTCTTCCCTCTTTCTCCAAGAAACCTCCAGTGTCCCTTCAGCTGGTGTTTTTCGATGGGGAGGAGTCGTTTGAAGAGTGGACGCCCTCAGACTCGCTGTACGGGTCCCGTCACCTGGCCGAGCGCATGGCCAACACGCCTCACCCTGCAGGGTCCACACACACCACCATGCTCCAGGCTGTGGTGAGAAACAGACACTCTTGTCCTTCAGGGTCTTACTCACATCCTGATACAGACACACTCAATTATGTATGAGCTGGCTGGATTTAGCAGACTGCCTAAACAGAGCCCATTTTAAACTTGGCAATAGCAGCAGTGTCTGTATGCAACCACTGACTAAAACTAAATTACAAGGATCATTCAGACTTGCATTCCTTTTTTTCCCCTTTTTTATGAACTTGGTATCTCAGAAATGTCTGAAGGAATTTTCCTCAAATTTGTCAGAGACGACCACTTAGCCCCAACGATGAACAAATTAGATTATGGAGGTCAAAGGTCAATGTCATTGCGACCTCTCAAACCACTTTTCTTCAATAATTATTATGAGGATTACGATAATTTTACACAAATGTCTAATTGGATCAAATGATTATGTTCTTTTAGAAAGAAAGGGATGTAAACTGTAACTTTACTGATTGGCGGGGTATGCATTTGATGTGTTCATCAACATTTCCTGAACAATGATTTAAAAGTAAGTGAACTAAAGATTCAGTAGTTGTTTTAACTTGCATCTTCCACTCTAGGACCTCTTTGTGCTTCTAGACCTGCTCGGTGGTTCTGACCCTCTGATAGTGAATCACTTTGATAACACCGCTCGCTGGTTCGACCGTCTGATCGCTGCAGGTAAGCATCGGCTGTAATGTTCTTGTGAATATTCAAAATCTAGTCTGTTGGAGGACCTAACTCTGTCTTCACCCCCTGTGCTCTCAGAGAAGAGACTCCATCGCCAGGGTCTCTTGACCTCTCACCCCTCAGAGCAGACGTATTTCAGAAAGGATGTTTACCTTGGCCCTGTGCAGGACGACCACATCCCCTTCCTACACAAAGGTCAGTGATAACACATGTTCATAACATGCTGTCAGTGATCATTATATTAATAATAACTATATGTATATAACAGAATAAGTAAGTAAGTAGTAGAATAACCATAGGCGATATAAAAACATGAATCAAAAAAGCTGAACAAAAGCTAAACAAACTAAGGGAAATCATTCAAACACCAACACAAAAGATAGCAGTGACTAGATAAATTCATATAAAAGGTAATGATAAAACATTGTAAATAAACAGGATTATATATTAGAATAATACAATTTAGGAAATCCAACATCATATAAAAGCAAATCTAGGGGTTTTTCTGTTTACAAAGGCTACATTTGATCACACTTCAGACTTTGCCCTTTTCAAAGGCAGAACATTCTCTGAAGCGCTGTCACAGCATTCAAACAAACTCACGTGGAAGTTTGAAACAGTAACACTAACCATTGGAAATATTATTGTGAAACCGGTAGCTGTTTCATCTCTAGTTGGAGGCCAGAGAGTGACTTTTGGTTAATGCAAGAAAGGAGTAAAAGTAGTCAAGCCTAGACAAAATAAATGCTTGAATTTGATTGTTCTGGTCAGTGTAAGAGCATTAGTTTTAATTCTGGAGTTAGTTCTTATTTCAAGAAAGCAGAACTAGAGAACCTTTTTTGATCAGCCCTCTCTTTTCTCCCTCTTCACACACAAAAAACAGGCGTCCCTGTGCTACACGTCATCGCCACTCCCTTCCCTCGGTTCTGGCACACACTGGACGACACAGAGGAGAACATGCACCGCCCCACTGTGGTGAACCTGACCAAGATCATGGCTGTGTTTCTGGCAGAATATCTGGGCTTCTGAAACACAAAACCCTGACCAATAGCCGCACTGGAGTACTGGTGCGGTTTGTCACGCTGATGACAAATAATTGCTAAATAACCAGCATGAAATTGATCCAAATGCACAAGAGCTGAACCTGGTGAAATGAACTGAACTGTTGTGTTATCAGTGTACCAGGATACCAGCTAAAACTTTACCAAAGACTTGGCCCGGCTAGACCGACCCCTGTCCAGATGTCTGGGATGTGATGTGTATAGACAGTCTTTATTCTACATGTTGAAAGGTGGTTGGATCATGGTACCGGAGGAACAGTTGGGAAAGTTGATCTGTGAATCTTAATTATTCTTCATTCCTGTGAAAAAATAGATCATGCCTTTTTAAAAGGTATACTATGGAGGATTTTCATTTTAACAAATGTGAATATACCCTCACAAAATAATCTGTTGCAATCATCACTTATGACTCGATAGCAGTGTGTCTATCCGTCTCTCTCCTCTGCTATGTGTCATGGATGCAGAGCAGAAAGGCCACAGCAGCCGAATATAAGGTGCTTTTTGACTGCATTCACAACAACTTCAGCAATCTAGGTTGTGCGGAGAAGTTGTTATGTTTATTTGTACCCTAAATCTGTAACACAAAACAAAATCTGACCAATTCTTCCTCAGATTCCTTGCTTCCTGCAAACATCGCTTACTCTCTCTTTTGTTGAGTTGGGGAGGAGGCACCGGCTTTGAAAGATGTGTTTAGAAACAGCAAACAACAATTCCTGCATAGTATACCTTTAAAAATAATTGCCCTGTTAATGCGATTGAGATGAGTACACTGGTTCATGTCTGTGAATAATTATTTACCTCCACTTACCTGAGGATCCTCTTCGCCTTACGACCTGCTGTTATTAAATGCTATATTATATGGCTATACAGCAAATGTGTGAAGGTGTTATTACAGTGAACAAGATCCAGCAAATGTGTACTTACACCATGTACAAGGTGTGGTCTGCAAATAAAGCTCTAATGATTTGGAAGATTTGTCTTCGACCTTGATGCGATTATATGAATTTAAAAGAACATGGGAGAATGCTGTTTGTGTAAGTAGTACATGGGGACACTTTTCCAGTAGCTTCCCTTCTTATCTTTCCTTTATGATGTTAAAGAAGAACGTCCGCTAAGTCATGTTTTGTTAACAAACTTTACTTGCTAAGTATTTATTTTATGGACACCAGAAAATAGAATTTACATTTCAGTTGAAGCAAACTGTTAAGTTATAAAAAAACAAAAATGAAACACTTGAATGGCAGACTCAGTGGAGGCCTCCACATATGTGACGTAGAGGAGGTGGTGGGTGAGAGAGGGGAGGAGGAGAAGGGGGGCGATGGTGTAGGGGTAGGGGTAGTGGGCTCCCTGGAGGTGAACAGTCGTTGTCAGAGGAAGGGTCCCCTTCTCCTGAGGTCCCTCCAGAGCAAGATATTTGAAAACTGAGGGAAGAGATGAGGAGAATCTAAATCAGATCGCATGCTGATGACGCATCATGTCTTAATTGAACCACAAGGGGACACTGTTGTTCTTTGTAAAAAGATACTCAATGTTTTCTACAGAGAGTTACAGATTGTTCAGTTTTTACATTATCTCAGTTTGTTTAAAATTGACATTTAACCACATTTTTTCAATCTAGATTATTAAGGAGTTAAATTATAGTGTTAAAATACCTCAGATCATAAACTGCTAAAAACAAGGTGGGCATTATGTGAGTAACAGTGTCATCATTTCTTGAAAGAGACATTACTCATTAGATGCATTTGGAGCACCAAAAGCCAACTAGCTTAATTATAGTTGAGAGAAGTTAGACATCTCCAAGGTCAACATCTTAAACAATCTGCAACTCACACCAATCTAATAAAAAGCACAACAGGTCAAATCAGATCTAAGTGCCTATTTAGGTCTACCAAGCCACTAATTAACTTTTTTTGAGATACATTATTTGAAATAGTTTGCAGGACTACAATGGCAGATATGGGCTTCTGTACGCAAGACCTTTAAATATTCAAACTATAGACAACTGCTGCTCCGTCACTGACCCCTGCAGGTCCGGGGCCCGGTCCCTCTGCCTGCGGTTCTTGAACCAGTTGCTGACCTGGGTGGTGGTCAGGCCGGTGGCCACTGCCAGCTGCCGCTTCTCCCAGGTAGAGGGATAGGGTTTATAGCGGTACCACTGACGGAGTATACCCCGAGATTTCTCCTGTAAGTATGTTAAACATATTTAATAATAATAAAACAACATATTTAAAACACAAACACATACAAACAATTGGGATGGCTCTTTTAAAACCAGAGATCAGCCCAGCTAGGTAGGCTACAAGTTTAGATGTTAGCAAATGTAGCCTATCACTTAAACACTAAAGAAAACCTTTTTAAATGACTTGACTTTCTAAGTTTTCCATTCAACACTTGCTCATGAAAATGTGTTGTTTAGTAAAGTTGAATGATAGCCAGTTAAAAAAATGTCACGTTGGACCTTTTAACCATTGTTCAGTAACTTCTATAGTTTTGGAAGAGTTAGTCAGATTGGTGCTTAGATAAAGGTAAAATAGCTCCACTAAAGTATGAAAACATATTACAGTTTAAGTCCTGTAGAAGTGAAGTATCACCACTAAAATATATTTTAATTAACAAAATGTCTCTGTCTATAAACAATATTATTTGTATAAGGTACTTATATCAGCACTTCAAGTTAGTTGGATGATATGGAGCATACTTTAGGTATAAGCACTGCAAAACTGTGCTGAGTGACAGTATAGGCACAGTACTGGAGTAAATAAGTTGCCTATCCAAACTGTTGTTAGATTGTTAGTTTCACAGCTAGTCAGAATTCACTAATGTGTCTTACAATGTAGCACCAGTAGAAAGCTAAATTAAAAGTTGGGGCACACATGAAGAATACCTTAAAACAGTAGCTGGTCTCCTCTCCATCCCAGATGGTGTGTGGTAGAGGGAACTTCCTCCTGACGCGATACTTCCCCACTGCCCCCAGGGGTCGGCCCCTCTGCCTCTCGGCCTCCACGTAGTGGGCTCTGAGCCAGAGCTGCTGCAGGAGCGCGTGGCTGCGTGGGGAAAAGGGGAAGCCCTCCAGCAGGGTGTAGAGGTCAGTGAAGCGGCCCTGGTGAAACGCCACTGCAGCTTTAGCCTTCAGCACACTCTCCATCTCCCCAGGGCAGAAGGAGGAGAATGAGGAGGAGAGGGAAGGACGAGGAAGAGTACGAAGAAAGCCAGCAAGACGATCCATGCAACCGCTCTGCAGGAGGACCTCACACACACATGCAACCTGCTCTGCTGTGAAAATCATTGCAGTGGAAACTGGTCCCAAAAGTCTGTGAGTAGAACAAAAGGATGTGTGAGGATGTCTAACAACCTCTAAAGTCCGTTGATGAAAGAGTGAATGTGTGTTTATCATTTCTCATCATGTCCCGGCAGAACCGAATCGCAGGTAACCCGAGATGATCCGGGCTGTAACAACAAACCATGCAGTCCTCCTTCTCTTGAACAAACACAAGCATGCACAGCCTCACACACACTTTGGATTTGCTTTTGTTCTGGCTTTCACCCATAGACAGACTAGAGTGGTTCTGCCATGCAGACCAAACACTCATTTGAATAACATTTTCCAACCAAATTAAAAGCAAAATCGGCAGACGAATAGTTTAAGCCGACAATAATTCAGTTTCCAGCACACGCACAATAATAAAAGCTGAACTTTTTTTGTAAATGTAGTTTATTACAATATAATGTAATATAAAAAATAGAATGCATTTTAATATAAAAACAAGAACCTTGAAAGCCTGACACAAACAAATCCCTTTCACAACTATCATAACATGTTATCTTTGGTTATATCTGGAGTCATATGTGTCATGTCGGAGACGATAAAAACATGCCCAGGCTACAAACAAACGGGTACAAATGTGCGTAAGCCCACAAAGGCTTCAATCTTTACAAACTTTGGTAATAAATGGCTCATAATAGCAAACGCAGGCTACCATATTTTACATATAAGACACAATTCCCTTTACCTCGAAATTTCAGTAAAATGCATAATAAAATTGATTTGTCCAAGCCATTTGATAATCTACCTTAAAGGTCACTGGGAACAAAATACATTTACATGTATTAACAAGGGTTGACCTAGTGTATTTAAAAATGTCCCTCAAATTGATTTCATACCTATAGTCTAAGATTGTAAAACCTCCATTGCATAACAATGTGACCTTCCAAGGGTATTATTTCCTATCTGCGTTTTTCCAACAAGGAGTCATTTTCTTACTGATTGATACATGCTTTAAATAGATTAAAATGTACAAAAAATACATACAAAAACATACATATAGAAAATACGACACAAAGGCCCTTATTGTAACTAGATGAGACACTGAAGTGAATTCTGTGTACCATAATTGGCCAAAAGAGTTTGGCCGCTACCTGTGTTATTATGAAAGTGGAAAGCTCGTATAACACGATGATTAGCGTATTTATCAGTATCAAGGTGTGGTATTAAAGTCCATTTAAGATTATAATATTTGGATTTTTAAAAAAGGGCATTTCAGAACATAATGAGTTCAACCACTGTCATAACAACACAGTAGCGCAGCGTAAACATGGTGTGAATGAAAGGTGCAAAATATACAAATAGAGGATATTGAGCTATGAGACCAAAACTGTCACATTGACTCTCACTGGAGATCAATCAGACACTTATGTGGATATTCAAAAAAAGTGAATCCCATAATTTGGACGGGTGTATAGCACTTTAAAAACTGTTAAATGTCAAAAACGTATCTTTTCAAAAACATCAAACCTGTAAGCTATCAAATAAGGCACTTATCAATATCAACTAGCTGAATGTGGATGCATTTAAGGGATCACAGCAAATCTTTAGTGTCATGCTTCCTTTAAAAACATTATTCAAAAAGCTTTTTTTCATCTCCCAAGTGTACTGGCTTTCAACTGAGCCATTATGGTACATACAATCTGATAAAAATAAACATGCATTGCATAGAGCCTTTTATTTTCCATGTTATTGCTTTACTAATGGAAGGCATTCTCACTGAAAAACTGCAGAACGTGATTTAAAACAGATTTGACTGATAAAATGCAGTTAGACAGCATGCTTCAGCCCGGGCTCAAACTTGTAATCTAAAATACTGCTGTATAGCCCCATCGAAGCACAATGGTTGCACAAAAACGTAAGTTCCTTTTTGTGGGGAATATTCTTTATTCCTAGAGTGTTGGAAGAATAAGCCCTGAACCTCTTTGTCAGATTGTCCATGTATATTTGCTGTGTTGGATCCACAACAAACTACTTATACTGCCAGCAAAATCCATCTTTTCCAAGTACAGCTGAACTCTGAGTGTTATCCACAAAACTGGGAAGAAGAGCTGAGAAAAAAGGCTAAGCCGCAACGCCTTGCATAAAATTGTCTTTTCATTTTTAACACCAGGACGTGTACCTGGGCACGCAAACCAACATGTATTTGTTCTTCTGTCTGCGTCTGATAACAGATAAGGCACGTGTGGATTTTTGTAAAAAGAATCGAGAGGCATGAAAACATTCCATATAACCCTGCCCATCGAGGAAGTAGAGCTGCAGAGGATTAATCTCAAAAGTGCCAGCTAAATTCATGTTGGTATCAGGCCCCTGTGAGAGCGTCATCGCGGTACCGTCAGTACCTGAACATTTTAAAATAACATTTGGCATATTCTTATTTCTGCTGTATGTTTTATAGTTTTTGTTCTTTTTGAGACACTGGGTTGCGACCAGCAGAGTAAACAGACTACAAGCCCAGGTCATCATCCACAGGGACGGACTGCAGCTGAGTGAGTATCTTGGTGTCCTCGTCCATCTCCTCTGGATCCCCCAGAGCAGAGCTGGTTTCCACATCCTGCTCCGACGAGGGGCTTCCCTGGAGTAGCGACTCTCCTCCAGGAAGCCCCAACAGAGCCGGGTCGACATGTAGGTCCCCCTTTCCGCGGACATCAAACAGAGTTAGACTAGCTGACGTGGAGAGGGGCATGGGGCTCCAGGCGGGCTGGGACAGCTGGATGTTGGGTGTCCCCCCACTGTACATGGGACTGAGGGTAAGCATACTCTCTGGAGTGAGAGTGTTTGGAGCTGTAGAGGTGACTGTATGATCTAAAGCCGGGATGGAGGGTGTCCCCGTCTCTGGAGCACAGTACGGTGGAGAAGAGTTGATGAAGTTTAGGGTGGATGATGTAAAGTGGGTCGGGCCTGAGGTGGAAGAGACTACAGGAGGGGTGGAGGGGGTGAGAAGTTGACTCAGTCCATTTGCATAGATGGGTGACGCCTCCGGGACCGGTTTCAGTGGCAGGCTGGTGAGCTGGATGCCGGCTGGGATGGTCAGGATCAGTTTGCCTTCGTGGACACTCAGGTAAGGGCTCCCACCGAGCAGAAGGTTACCTGTGGTGGTGAGGAAGGATGAAATGACAGCAATAAGGACAGAGTAACAACATCCAAAAAAGCAACGCAGCAGTTAAGCACCTTATTGGTTATTTATCTCTACAGTCATTCATACTGTTTTGGGTCAGAAGATATTTTTCAGATTGTTTCCTGAGTGCATTATCTTACAGTCATATAGATAAAATAGCCCATTGTTTTTAAAGATACTCTATACATCATGTCACAATTTGAGAATACTTTAGTTCGATTAGTTAGCTGTTTTGTAATGGTTGATTCAGCAGTGGTTATTCCATTATTCAACTGTTTTATCTCCAAATCTCATATTCAGTTTTATATCAATCTGTCAGAATGACATAAAATCCTAAAAGCAGGGATTTGTTTTTTCCAATGTTGATTGACTTTTTTCAAAGAAACTGTTAAAATAAATAAATCGCTGAGTCATTTTTGTAGTTTGGCTAACTGTTATGTGCTCTGTTGCTGCATGTATTAATGCATTCAGTGTACCTGGAGCAGCAGAGGGCAGCTGAATGATCCCAGAGTTGAGGAGCTGCACACCCGGGGCCATGCTGGATTGGTGACCCACATTCTGCAGGGGCCTCAGCTGGTTTATCCTAAGAGGCCCCTGAGCGACCCCTCCATGAGCTGAGGTCAGGATCTGTAAGGGCAGTCCAGCAGAGGGGATGGACAGAGAAGGACTGGCAGGAACCACTTGGGGGAAAGAGATGGAGGAGGAAGTTTGAATGGGGGAGACGGGGACCAGCTGAGGCATGGAGAGGGGGACTAACTGTGCTGCTGTGGAGGCTTTGGACACTACTTGTGTCGGGGAAGAAATGGATATAAGCTGTGGGACCTGGATTGTGCTCGTAGAGGAGTTTGTGCTTTGTTGGAGCTGATTGTTAAGCTGTGAGATAGAGACTATAGTGGTGGCACCTTCAGGCAGAGTACTTAAAGCATCCGGTTGCAGTCTGGTGCTAGTGTTCACTGTGTGGTTTAGGAACTGAGAAGCTGATGAGGTGAGGGAAGACACTGGGACTAACTGAGGGCATTGGGACACTGTGGCTCCTGACGAGTGCTGCACCAGCTGGGACACTGGGATACCCTGGATGGAAGGCACGACCTGGGGCAGAGAGAAGACCTGAGGGGAGGAGCTGCTGCTGGAAACCAAAGAGCTAGAAGGGTTTAAGTGGGAGCCAGCGGAGGTAAAAACAACATACTCTCCATGCTGACTGGAGAACGGCAGGGCAGAACTGGAGATCACCATGCCTGCGGACGACATGGAGACCGGGAGAGACTCGTGGCGCTGGGGGATTTGTGCTAAGACTAGTGAGGGGAGACTGGTTGGGGAGGACAGAGTTGGTGAGGAAGGAGATAAAGATGAAGAAGAGGAAGATACTGTCTGGATGCTGCCCTCTGATTCAGGGACGCTGATGAAATTCATTGCATTGCCGCTGTCTGTTTTGGTTTGCAGGGGAAGAGAGATGACGGAGACCGGGGAGGTGTTAGTGCTAAGAAGACTGCTCTGCTTGGCCTCCATGGACAAAACCTCCTGCGGTGTGATGGAAACAGCTTGCTGCTGATGCAGACTAGTTTTGGTTATTACCTGAGCCCCGTTCAGAATCAAAGGAGAGTTGGATCCAACAGGACTCAGTGTGACTGTCTGGCAATCGCCCAAGCTCAGCCCGTTAATTATGACACCAGCACCAGTACTGGAGAGGATGGAATTTCCATTAAGTAGTAACGGCTGAGAGGCTGTGAGGAAGCCACCGGACCCGTTGAGGAAGAGCTGGCCTCCGGCGCTGCAGGGGACGGCAGAGAGAGAGATGATGGAGGCCGTGGAACTGGAAACCTCCTCTGGTTTGTCAGGGCCGTCGTCCATGGGGCTCCCCTCGTCATCGGTGCTGTGGTTCCCATCAGATTCACTGGAACGGAGGAGAAACAAATGGGTCAAATTAAAAGACAAAAGTCTGAGGCAACTAAGAGGGTTGGGCAACAGGATTTAGTCAAGTGCACAGCTTGAACACACAAACGCTTAATAATCCATTTATTGCATTTGTACTGTTCTGATCCCTTTAATGAGTTAATCTTATTACATACGTAATCTGTTTTAAAACCCTAATTTCTGGTCAGTGAACTCATTTCAGTCACAGGTTTGATGGATTATGCATTGTTAGACCTGGATTATTTAAATATGTGTATAAGAGAAAAGGCAGAGATGCTTGTACTGAACTATAGCTCCTAAACTCCATCAGACTGAAAACATTTTAACAATACAACATCAGTATCAGGCCTCATCTTGCATCATGACATCTGGTTGTGCAACTCTACTTTTGAATGTATTTACAGCGATGGTAGACAGATTAGAGTTTGAAATTGTCGTGAGAGTATTGAAATGTACATTACTGTGAAAAACATTTGAAGTGCGCCTTATGTTTATCAGTTATATTGAAATACTGACTAAAAATGTTACTCACTCAAAAGTTGTCCTTATTCCAACTTTTACACATTTAAACTTTTCAAATATCCCTCGTCTCTGATGAATTAACCAATCGATCAATACATTACATCAGGCTTCTTAAAAGATGATTACATGTTCATGACTAGGTCCATTATTTGTCTGCAACTGATTTAAAAATATTGGCTTTCTAAACACCCCTTAGTTGAATTGCAAAATGTTGGGAAAGTACACCAGAAATAGAAATATGTTTGCATTCAAACTAGGGACAAAACTTGTATTGTTGTGTGTTGCAGTGTACTTTAATGTGCAAATTGCTTGTATGTGCAATATATACACAAACCAAATTCTGGTTCTGGTTAAAGAATAACTTTTTCAATTGTTAGCTTGCACACACTGGCGTATAGTATTCTGTATTTGTCTGGATCCAACTCAACCTTTTCTGGTCATTTTATTATCTTATCTACAAAACTGACCATACTCTGTCGTGGATCCGGGAGAATCCTAACAACTATTTTAACCAATTGTTTGCTTGGTTTGTGTGGTCAACCATACAGATTGTTTGCCAGACCACTAAGCCTGTGATAAGATAAGTATGCTGTATTATCTCTTATCTCCTCACGATTTACCATCTCCCCCTGTGAATAAGTAGCTGTAAAACTGAGATTTCCCCCAGCCTACATAGCACCCCCCACATTCTCTGGTTAAAGCCTTTACTCTCACCCCGTCACCCTACAGGCCCTATGCAGCGGTGCAGGATTTCAGGAAACTTGAGCCACGATGGGCGCCTGGATCTCACATTTCATAACAAAGCAACATGCTCCAGGTCTCGGACCTGTGTGGCTTTACTGCTGTCAAAAGTCAGCACCCGGGCCATTATCTTACTTCATGCATTTTATGAAAGTTCTTAAATACGTTTCTTTTTACTGACGTTTGAGGTTTACATGTTCTTTCTACTCTGCCCTTTGTAGGCCTGCATGTCTTTGTTTTACTATGAAGGTCTGGTGCGTTCAGTAACTGTTTTGAGTGATTGTTAATCTCTAAAAACACAACACAAAGCAACCAGCCGCTCTTTAAAAAAAAAGAGGGAATGTCAGCTGTCTACTGGATAATGACTTTTGAATTACTCCCTCGGTTGAGACTAGACTCATGGGTTAACATTGTTTCCAGTACTGTTGGGTTATCTAAACTTGCCTTTTGCTGTGTGTCCCGGACGGGGTCCTGTCCCTCTGCCTACGGTTCTTGAACCAGTTGCTGACCTGGGTGAGGGACAGTCCGGTTACTTTGGCCAGGTTTTTCTTCTCGTCCGGAGTGGGGTACCTGTTGCTCTTATAGCAATCTTTCAGGGCATTTCTGGACTTTTCTTTAAAGCAGTACACGGTCTCCTCCCCGTCCCAGATGGTTTTGGGAAGGGGGAACTTCTTCCTGAGCCGGTACTTGTCCACTGCACCCAGGCTGCGGCCCCGCGACCTCTCCGCCTCCTTGTAGCGGGCTTTCAGGTACAGGTCCTGCAGGAACCCATGGTTAGACGGGTGGAAGGCGTAGCTATCCAGGATGGCGTACAGCTCCTTAAATTCGTCCCGGTGGAAAGCCACCAGTGCCTGGGCCTTCAGCATGGTCTCGTTGCCACGTAGCAGCTCGGACGAAGGAGGTATGGTGGAAAGAAATCTCCACAGGCGATCCACATTGCCCGCCTGCAGGAGGGCCTCGCACAGACATGATACTTGGTCAGTGGAAAAACTCAAAGACGAGTTTTGGAAACTTTGGAGCAATTGTTCCGAAATGTGCACCGGATCTTTATCTTCTTTGAACTCCGTGGTCGTCGGCTCCTCTGGGCTGTTCTCGGATTGTTCTGTAGACTCCAAAGACAAGGAAGCCATTTTTACTTTAACTTTTTTTCCTCCAGTAGTTCCTCCTCCTCTCTCTCCCTCCCTCCCTCTGTACCGAAGCACTCTCTCCCGGTCTCTGCCAAACCACGAACGTGCCTGCAAATTACAGCAGCCACGCCCCTTGTCTGTCTTTTGTTCAAAGTAACTTTATATTTGTCACTAATTAACATAATGCGGAACTTAAGACTGCAGTATGCTCGATAATAAACAAAACTACTAGACCTCCACCTCCTTTAATTAAATGCTGGAAGTCAGTGTTGGAAAATGACAAAAGTACATTTACTCAAGTAGGCCTACTGTAATTACACTTTTGAGAGACTTGTACGTTACTTAAGTAATTCAATGTTTTACTACTTTGTTCTTCTACCAAACCACAATTCAGAGGTAAATAATGTACTTTTACTCCACTACATTTATCCTTTAGTTACTTTGCAGATTTTGGTTGAAACTGTGAAATATAGAAAACACTTTAACAAGACTTTAGTTAAACCTGGAGTAACATTCACGAGCTACCATGCAGCATCAGTGTGCCTGGGAGGTCTCTAACGTAAATATTGTACCAACATGCATAATTAAGTATACACGTCACACAGCAGCTATAATTTGCATTTGTGATGTGCTTCATTTTTTGATTTTTTTTTAAAAGATTTGCATCATGCTCAGGTCATTATAGTGGCAATTTCACTCTGTATTTAATAAAGAAAAAAATATAATTTACACAAATAACTTTCTGTGTGTGGGGGAATTATTTGGCTATTTTGCATGTTAGTGCATCAATGACTTACCAGTTATCTCCCACTCAAAAACAGAACGTTTATGATTATATGCACATGCCTTACCCTTAATAGTTATAAATGATAAACTGTTTGTCAGACACCAAATTGTGCTTTTAATACAGTATGTGTCTCAAATATGTGAGCATGGCCAGCAGATAGTTTGAATGAGGCAGGGTTGTCTCCATCATCAACAACCAGAGGAATGTAAATCCTCGCTGTGGGACTGTGGGACGTCTCAGCCCCCCTCTGCCCCTCCTTCTCCGGGGTTTGGTTGTAGTTCTCATCTTTCTTTGATCTCGTCTTTTCTGCCCATACATGCTCTGTTATCTGTGCTCAATTAATACTTTGGTCCACCGAAATATGTCCATGATTTATGAAAAGGCCAATTTTATTAGCAGGGATTTTTGTTCATAAATTGTCAAATGTTCTATCAAACATCCAGCATGACAAAGTGAGAAATAGTTTTAGGAAATGTACAAATCTAGGATTTACAGCTCAAGCGTGTCCAAACAGGCCTACTGTGGACTACATTCATTTCATAAAATTTCAATATTAACTTGTCACACTTTATATTTTGTTATTACATTGTCGTTATTACAAGTTTCTGTTTTATAGCCGGATCGTGTGACTTACTGTATGCTTATTATGACACTTGGATTTATTCCAGTGCAATGATAGATGTATTCTTATCCATGCAAGACTCAAAGCCCCACTGCCAACATTTATATAATAATAATAATAATAATAATAATAATAATAAATAAGTCGTTTAATTAATAAAAAAAAATATATTTATACAAATTAAAAGGTAATCACCATCAAATATATAATTAAATATACCAGGTTACAATCCTAATTGAAAACAAAGCTCGGTTATCATTTGGGATGTTAATATTCCTATAAAATTAACCTGCGTGGAGTCTCCATGTTTTAAACTGGACGATAGCGCCACAGTGTGGTTGTTTCTGTCGCATCACTCCTGCTCCTATCTCGATTGGTTATTCTCCGTGTCAATCTACCGGTAAGTAGGCGGCAATGCAGGTCCTTTTTGGTTCGTATCGTCACTCTATTGGTTGGCTTCATTTGCTTTCCCTGATGTGATTGGTGGTTTCATGTCTGGGGGTGTGGTAGAAGAACGTTCCAGAAATGGGATGTATGAGACCATGATGTAGCAGTTTGTCAACAATTATAATAAAAGTGCTTTACTGCTTTCTTTATTTTATTTTAGTCAATAAAACGTGCTCTTTTTAAGGGGTCCCTTTTAAAAGTTGGTTAAATACTGATGCTCGTTGAATAAAAACAGCGCGCTAATGTGACGTAACGGGGTGGGTCGTCTAGTGGTCACGTGATTTTTGGCGTGGTAAAGCAATAGAGGTATCTAAACCGTACACAATACATCTTGCTGCGTTACTCAAGAAGGGATACTCTGGTAATTTGCTTCAAACTTCTAGAAAAATACCCCTTTTTTAAGTAAGTATGGCAGCCTTACTTTATATTGTAGCGTGTTTATGGTATCCAACGTGACTCTGCTGTTGCTAGCCATTCTAACAGAAGGTGGCTAGCTACACGAGCCATTCTAACCATTCTAACAGAAGGTGGATAGCTAATGTTAACTAGCTAACGTTAACTAAAATACAAACGATATTAAATGATGAAAGGTCTTAAAGTGTATAAACATGAGCAACAAAGATGGTAATTGACCAAAGTTAAACGTGTAACTTCAAAATGCTGTGTAACACTAAGTGGTAAACTACTAGTAAGAGGTAGGGCGGGTAATTTATTTTAGACACGTTTTGTTATATTTGTTGAAATGCTCATTACATCCCTACAGCGATAGAAACATATATTGCCCTTACAAACAACATGATACAAACAAATCCTTATCTTTCCTAGTCGGAGGAGTTTAATTTATACTGCGACGTTACCCGTGCGCACCCGTTGCGCATCACTACAGTGTTACCCTAGTTGACAGCTGTGCTCCTATCCCACGATGCATTGCTGGGGGGTAAAAGAGCAACAACTTAAGACGACCTGTGAGTGGGCAACCCTTTGGTCCTCGTTATGGTTGTCTTTGTAATCATATCTTAGAAATTGTATTTATAGTGAACACTGTTTGTGTGTGAGAGAGAGAACAACTACTGTGTACTGCTACTACTACTACTGTGGTGCTGCAGCATTTTGACATACTTATTTTCTTGAATATTTGAATGGTTTGCAATTGGATACATCGACTCCACTACAATTTCGCATCTGGTTATACTTTGCATGTCATTTGACAAGGGTTAGGATTACAAATGTTGAGATACTGTGGACAAGAGGAAATGTTTAAAATATTCTCACATGTACAAAAAACTGTTTTGTACATAACATTTTAAATGAACAATGTCTCCATAATGACTAATTTTACTATTAACACGTACAGTACATGTTTTTGCTAATGACTCACGAGTACTCTCACTTAAGTAATATTTTGAATACAGGACTTTCACTTTAAATGTAGAACTTTTAGACTATGGTTTATTACTTTTACGTGGGTAAACGACCTGCAAACTTGTTCCTACCTCCACTGCTTGCAACTTGCTTCGATTAAAGTTTACTTGCCGTCAGGTTTTAATTTTAGGAATTATGCAACTTGACACCAGGAAATTACCTTTTAACAGTATTTATACACAACTGTGGGATCAATTGTACTCCTGTTGGCTAACATGTCACATTGTTTGCCTTTTTTGTTTTCAGTTTTTGCGGATTCAACCAGCATCATGGACGGCGGAGTTACAGTAGTAACCAATCCTCTTGTGAATGTGCGCCTAACAAGCTCCATCTCCTCCTTCGAGGTGCAGCGCAGGTTCAATAGAGGGATTAGTATAGCAGAACTGAAGGTGAGACTCAGCTTATCACACATTATACATATTTCCTACACTTTTTACTGACATTATTATTTAATAAAGGCATCTCTCATGTTATCAGAGACAATAACATCCATCTTGATTGTTTTTTTTTTAAATTAGGGAAAATTGGAGATGGTTTTGGGTGCAACTCCCTCCTGCATGGACCTGGACTTGTTCAGCGTCTCTGACAAATTCCTGCAGAAAATGGACGACAATGAAGCTTTGCTTGGTTCCTTTCCTGTGGATGATGACTGCAGAATACATGTAAGTAGCTGCTCGGTTTGGAAGATCTTTTAATGTGGTTGCCCAGATCATATTATAGTCAAAAACATGTAGCCAAATGTATTTGGTTTCAAATCCAATTCTGTTTTCCTGCAGCCCTAAAAATATTCACACCAGATAAGATAAGCATTTAATAGAACACATTTCCTGGAGACATTTAAGACAACTTTGCAGCGAAACATTTTCCAACTGGTTTTAACATAAGAACCCATCCATATAGGTTGTGTTAAATAGCACATCAATTATTATACTTTTTTACTTAAAGGGGGTAGCAATGAATATCTTAAGTGCTTTGACAAAAAATCCATATAAAAAAATGTCATCTGTGGAAGCCGTAGTACTGTAAAAAGCACGACCAATCATTTTAGCCGACCCGGCTAAAGTAACTGGATGGCCTACCTGCCTGTCAACCTTCCATCTGTGCACAAACTTATCTCGTGCCCTCATTGGTCATGTGCACGTTCGTGTGTGTTGGAGGAGGGGCTCTGTA